AGCGTTAAAATGCTCAAATGAAAACCAAGAATTTCAAATGTTTAATTCAAAAAGTAACAAAAGTTTTGAGTTTTCACCTTTTTAACAAAAAAAAAAAAATCTCTAAACACAAGTTTTATTCGGAGGCTCAAAGTCTCTGCAGGACCCGTCTGACCGGTTCTGAAGGTGTTAAAGTGGATCCTTCTGGTTCTTTTGATCATCAGAACCTTTAAATGCTGGTTCTGGTCCACAGGAAGTTGGAGGCGTCCGGGACCAGAGGGAGTCCGGTGGGGTTCCTGACAGAGGACCGGGGACCAGGAGGAGGGAGCTGGTCTGAGCCGAGCCGCAGCAGAAACGGTGCGTTTGCTTCTGATGCTGTGGGGTTTTTGTTTTTAACGGCCGTTTGAGGTTCTGGACCGAGCCCCAGAACCTGAAGCTGGACCTGAAGATCTGTCCCGTTTCTGTCCTGCAGGAGGTGAAGTCCTGAAAGGTCCGAGCGACAGAGCCGGGTCTCTAGCTTTAGGTCCGGTGGGCTCTCCTCTAACGGTTCTGTTGTTGTGAAGCTGAAGCTGGTTTGAGTGAAAACTGGACTTTTTGTTTCCACAGACGATGACGTGGAGTACGACGACGACTTCAACAGGTGAGCCTGAACACCTGAGCCGCCGTTCGACGCAGGTTTGTTTCCTCCTTCCTGTTCACGTTCGTTTTGTTTCAGTCACCGGTCGGACCTCTCGAACGGCGAGCCGAGCATCGGCGAGGAGATCGAGGACGTTTCCATCGAAGGTCCTGAAAACAGCAACAAGGTGCGTCAGGATCAGCTGACCTCACACCTGTTGCGCCTGTTCGTGTTACCTGATTGTTTGTTTGTTGTGCAGCTGGATGAAACCACGCAGGACCTGAGCGTCTCTCAGCTCAGTCAGAATCACGAAGCTGACTACATGGAGGACGTGCCCTGAATCTCCCATCATGCACCTCTTTAGATCTGTACATTTGTATTGAACCAATAAACGGACTTGTTTTACGTTGACGAGGATTTGTTTGTGACGTTTGTTTTTGGTGTCGATTCTTCATCACAGGTTTCCAGGTTCACCTGAAAAAACAGCTCTTGAGTTTCCGACAAAAAAAAAAATAAGATGAGAGGAGAGTGGGTAAAATGAACAAACATGTCGAAAAGAAAAGAAAACAAAGGAGAAAGAGATGGATGGAAGAGAAAAAGACAGGGTTAGAGGAAGATGCAACCAAATTAACAGAGCTTTTCCGAGGTGGAGGAGGGACCAAATCATGAGTACAGGTTAGCAAACACTGTTCCTACCATCCAGACTTGGTTTATATGTTTCTGAATGTGTTCAGGGCTCGCAGAACATTAAAGGGATCCCTGATTACTTGTAACATTAGACTTTATTTAATAAACATATATTTTAACTGTAAAATAAAGACTAAAAATAGGCTGTTTAGTTTTTATAATTTTTAAACTAAAAGTTTAAAAATATATTACATGGACGGAGCCATTTTATGTACATGCAAAGCATTCTGGGTAAATGATGACGTGGATAGGTCCTCGGTGCGAGGCTGCTAGCGAACTATATCCACCCTGAAGGTTAATCTTGGACAATATCTGATGATCGACTCTTTTAAATGAAACCAGAGAGCGTTGACAGAGAGGAGAAGGTAGAAATGACTCAGCCTGGAACTGAAAATATGGATGGAGGACCTCAGCTTAGCCTGTTAGCCTTTGTGCTAGCACTGACGCTATTCTACCTTATATGTATTAGCTCGGTGCTAGCGCGACAAACAAGCTAAACTGATGTTCCCACCTCCAAACTTCACTGTTGGTATGGTGTTTTTGGGCTGATGTGCAGTGCCATTTGACCTCCAAACATGATGTGTATTCTGGCATCCAAACAGTTCAATGTTGGTCTCATCTGACCAGACTATATTCTCCCAGTATTACACAGGCTTGTTTAAATGTTGTGCAGCAAACTTTAAAGGAGCTTCAACATGCTGTTTCTTCAGCAGTGGAGTCTTGCATGGTGAGCGTGCATACAGGCCATGGTGGTTCAGTGCATTACTTATTGTTTTCTTTGAAACAATCGTACCTGCTAATTCCAGGTCTTTCTGAAGCTCTCCACAAGTGGTCCTTGGCTCTTGGACAACTCTTCTGATAATTCTTTTCACTCCTCTGTCAGAAATCTTGTGAGGAGCACCTGGTCGTGGTCGGTTTATGGTGAAATAATGTTCTTTCCACTTCTGAATTATGGCCCCAACAGTGCTCACTGGAACCTTCAGAAGTTTAGACATTCTTCTGTAACCGATGCCATCATTATGCTTTGCAACAATAAGGTTGTGAAGGTCTTGAGAGAGCTCTTTACTTTTACCCATCATCAGATGGTTCTTGTGTGATACCTGGCCATCATTTGGGACTGAACAGCTGATATTAACTTGCACTGACAAGGGGCAGGCTTGCTTTCTAATTACTGAGAGAGTTCAGCTGGTGTCTTGGCTTTCCATGCCTTTTTACACCTCCCTTTCTTCATGTGTTCAATACTTTTTCCCTGTGCCATTCCACATTATTACAAATAACTTCATTTCTGGACATTTATGGTTTGATTTCTTTGTATGTATGGATCACTTGGGTTGTTACCGACATCTGGTGAAAATTTCTTGTCATTAGCACCTCCAGTAATATATTTACTGAGAAAAATGGTGACGTGTTCAATACTTATTTTACCCGCTGTAAGTCTTGTCTCAGTGAAAAGGATACCTTTTTCAGGTAGTCAGTAAAAAAGGGTGTGTTTTCACCGAGTTGCCAGATTGAATGAGAATAAAAACAGCTGGGTGATAAACATCGAGGCAGGGGATGTGGAGGTTGATGCTGAATTGTTTATCAGATTAAAAAAAACTGAGGGGAAGAAACAAAGTGAGTTTGTGAAACAGCAAAACCTCAGCCGAAGGCTTCAGAACGTTTCCCCTTTAGCTGCGTGGCTTCAGTGTCAGACTGATGTCGAGCCTCCATCAGCAGAGGATCAGCAGCTGAAGGAAACACCTGCGAACTGTGAGTTTAATCTGATTTTTATATTGTCTTTTTATATTTTTCCTCTGTTTTTAGGTGTATTCTGTTTTTATCCAAAACGTATTTTTACCTTTTTGTTTCTTGTCTTTGCATTTTATTTTACACAAATTCTATTTAAAACATTCAGATTTACTTCAAAAAGGGTTTTTAATAATAATTTAAACTTTTAGAACTTCAGCCTTTCTGTGGGTTTCGGTTCGTTTTCTTGTTTTGACTTTTAATTTGTCAGAATTCTGAGCTGTTGACGTAACGTCTCAGTTCCTATGAGATGTCCTGCACTTTGACACTTATCTTTATAATCTGTGAGGTAATCTGCAAACATCTGGCACAAAACTGCAGATTATGATCAGAGCAGAAAACTTTCTGACAAAAAGAGTCTGTCGCTGCACAAACAGAAACGAACAGAGGAAATGTTCAGCTCTGGTTTTATTTTATTGTGAAGTCTTTCAGGGTTGAACTAAGAGCATATTGTAATTTTAGATTTGATGGAAATTAAATATCTGAAATCAGGTTAAATAAGTCAGACTTTTTCAGAAACCTGCATTTTGAAATGTTGGATAAAAACCTTGGATGAGTTGTTTTGAAACTTCACAGTTTTGGACAATATCTGTTTATAAATCCAGTTTAATATAAAGACCAAATGAATTTATATCGATCATAAAATCACTTTAACACCAGGTTGTTTCCTCTTCAGTTAACCTGAGCCTGCTCGGTGCAGGCATGAAAGAAATTTCACACAATGATGGAGATGACTCTCAGTTACTACCACACTAAATTTTAGCTACGTATCTGTAAAACAGTCTGATTTTAGAACCATTTTGTTCTGAATAAAGTAATAAACTGTGGAGGCCATTTTCAATTGAATTGATGAGTTGTAGATGATCCTCCAATGATTATTTTTTGATTTTCCTTCATATCTGTTCACTAATTCCTGAAATATTTTTGCCAACATTCAGATAAACACACAAACATTACATGATTGCCCGCCGGATCCCCTGAATCAGCCGAGTTTCCTCCGGTTTGATTGTTGTGAGAAACTGTAGCTAAAGGAGAAATCAAGAGTTTTTAGCAAACAGCTGAAAGTTCCTCAAACATAAAGTTCCTGCTCTGAACTTCTGCTCCATGGACAGATGCCGATTGTCCCCTCTGACTTCCTGTTCTTTAAATGTCATGTTACCACAAGTCGTCCTCGCGCCTGTCACTCATAAATCTGCTCATTGACATTTGTACCACCTGTTTGTGATGGTTGGTTTCTAAGTCTACAATTTTAAACTTGCTTTTATGTTTTCTTTTTAAGTATTTGCTTTTGCCTCCATCAGTGTTTTCAAGACTCAACTGGAAACAGGAAGTTCTGACCATCTGAGTGGAAAAAATCAATAAAACCAGACAGAGGTCTGAGATCTGGACCTTTTTGTCCTTGGCAGACCATTCTGTTGGTTACAAGTAAACCAGTACTGAACTCCCATTTCCAATGTACATTGAATGCAAAAGGAGAAGATTAAGATGCAGCTGAATCTGAACCAGTTGCTTCAAAGATGTGTCAGATGATGTTTGTTAGCTTCTGCATTAAAAAGAACTGAATCCTCCCTTTAAGAGAAACTGATCAATCATCAAACCTTCAATTCAAGAGGAACAGTGGTCCGTCCTGGTCTGGAACAGTGGACCAGATCTCAGAGTGTCTGTATTGTTATTAAGAGTCTCAGTGCTTGTAGTGTTAATGGACAGGATCTCAAGGTGCAGTCATGGAGAGGAGGGGGTCTGGTTTGGGAACCACAGGGTCTCTCTGCTGTATGCAGATGATGTGGTTCTGTTGAAGTCTTCAGACCAAGACCTTCAGTGTGCACTGGGGCGCTTCACAGCTGAGTGTGAAGCAGCTGGGATGAAAGTCATGGTTCTCAACTAGAAAAGGGTGGAATGCCCCCTCTGGGTTGGGGGGTGGGTCTCTGCATCAAGTGGATGAGTTGAAGTATCTGGGTGTCTTGTTCTCGAGTGATGCTAGGATAGAGGAGGAGATGGGTCGACGGATTTCGGCCTTGTCCTCAGTAATGAGTGTATTGCTTCGGTCAGTTGTGGTGAAGAAAGAGCTGAGTCAGAAGGAAAAGCTCTTAATTTACAACCCTCACCTGTGGTTATGAGGTGTGGATCATGACCGAAAGAACCAGATCCCGGATACAAGTGGCCGAAATGAGCTTCCTTCATAGGGTGGGCAGGCTCAACCTTATGCTGCATTTACACCGAACGCGATTTCTGTGTCAGGAGCATCAGGTTTACATGCAAAGTCTATGGTGGATGTGCGTCAAGCAGCATCGGGAAGTGCTGTGGCTCGTCAAGCACGATTAGAGCGGCACGATTTGGGCGTTCGACGCATCGTTGGAAAGTTGTAAAATCTGAACTTTTGCAGCTCGACGCACCGCATCAACCAGAGTGTGACGTAGTGACAGATTATCCGACGGGACAGTTTTCTGAATATGTCCACTAATCTGAGACAGATGGACAGGAGCTCTTTAGCTGAAGTCAAGTGCTTGTAGTCGGTGTCCTGGCAGGAGATTGATTTCATTTGATTTGATTAACAGAAAAAGATTATTAAAAATCAAGCCTGACTCAGCATAATTGCTGTTTGGCAGCAGGTTCCTGTTCTGCAGCACATAAAACACTCAGAATTACAGCATCACAATCACATCCTTATTATTACACCATAGACACAAAGACAAACAAGCATACCAAATTTTAAAAAGGCAGCATTTGCAAAATCGGACATCTAAATATGAGCACAACAAAAAGTG